AAGCATAAGAAAACCGCTACGTGAGTCTCTCTGCTGTATCCTTCGTATCGTGTGTCTGTATCTTTTGATTATCTCTGTTTCTTTTGTGATCTTATAATGTGAAATAACCATTACAGGGACTCAATTGAGACGGCTCTGGAGGAAGATGCTCCTGGTCTTTTGCAGGTATCATGGTTTTCTTCTCAAAAAATAGAATTTAATGGAACTTCTTCAAATTAGATTTCTTAAAGCACATATGTTTGTATCTGTTGTTTGTAGGTACTGATTCAACAAGGAGTATCAGTTGAAGAACTTAGGCTTTATGGGAACGAAGGTGGTGATGCTTCCTCAGATGATTCACTTCTCGACGAGAGTTTCTCGGAGCTCGAAGATGTGATCTCGCAGGTAAAACTATCCCTTTATTTTGCTGCAAAGTTAACTTTTTTCCGCTATGTGTCAAATGATTGAATCTTCTTGAAATTTATCAGCTTTTCTTCAAACGCGAGACGGGCACAAAACTTCTTAATTCAAGTTTCTCAAAAGTTTCAAGAACTAGCTATTGCTTGACCTGTCTGTTCTCCCTCATCGAACAGGTAAAAGTCCTCATACCCGTCTTCTCAGATATTTATACATTTCTCTTTCTTCCTAACTTGTTTCCTCTTGTTTTCAAGGCGCGGTATTTACAGTTCCGCAAATGGCCTGTTGAGTGGGGCTGGTGCCGCGATCTCCAGTCTTTCATATTTGTTTTCGAGAGACATAACCGGTAAATTAACTCTCTTCCCTTTGTCATTGCTACTAAACTGGAAATTTCATGGATCTTTTTGCTTGATACAGTATAGTAATGGAACGACCTGAATATGGCTACGCAACATACTTCTTCGAGCTCAGCAACACTGCATCAATCAGATGGCAGATCAAACGGTTAGTCTTGGCCATGAAACTAGCAAGCTGTGGCCGATATCAGCTGATTGAAAACAAGCCGTTACTGGTAAATTCTTCTCTCTCACCGGTTAATTTGATCCTTTATTCTTTTCTAAGGTTTATTATTCTGAACTCTCTATGTAATTCGGGGTGGGGATAACAAGGTAGGAGAAGATATGACTGAAGGCGAAGCAGAAGTGCTGATGAAGTACGGCTGGGTAGCAAACACGGGACTAGGGACGATGGTAAATTACCGCGATAGAGTCTACCATGACAGGAAGACTCAAAAACAGACATCAGTATGGAGATGTAAGATTTCTGAGCTTCTTGTCGATGGTTATAACAGTGGAACCATCGTCTCAACTTTCATTGCCCCCCATGATGATGATGATGTTGATGATGCCGGACTTGGGATGGGAGATGTTAAGCTTGAGCCTTATTGAAGCTGTGAATCTGTTATAGAGTCTTCAACTGTTGATTGTTTATTTACTTGGTCAACTAAATTTAATCGAACCATTAACTTCAATAAGCATGCTCAAAATTTTCCATGCTTTCTTTTATCACCACAAGCTCCAGATTTTGCTGCACTTGTCACTATAGTTTTGTCTAGTCGTGGTTAACTTTAGCGTATAAAAAACGAGCCCCGTGTAGGCAATATAGAGGATCTTACTTTGACGCGTGAGACAATAAAAAACTAATTTTTCTTTTTTTTTTGTTAGCCCAAAAATGAATGAAGATTTGATCCCATTTTGAGACTTTATCCATTTGTATTGGCATATCTATATCTAAAGATTCTTTTCAACCACGTTAAAAGATTAATACAAGTATACAACATTGTTTTCTCATAAACTAGAGTTAAATTCATATTTTTGATGTTATTTTAATAATAGTTAAGCACATAAAAATAAAGTATCGCAAAAGAGGTATTTTGTTTATTCATATTGATGAAAATCATAGAATGTATTACTATTAGGATTATGTATAAACACAAGAAACCACTTAATTACTACAGAATTTTTGTATCAATTGCACGAAGAAAGACTGAATAATTTATAGGAAATTTATATATATATCGTTGGGTAACTTTGTAAAAGCCAAAAGGGATTGTACTTTTGTTGTTAAGGGTGTAAAGTTTTAGCCAATGTGTCACAACAATAAGTAGGAGAACGAAACTATACTCATTCACCAACTTCAAATGTATTACAATCATTGTTGTCGTTACCAAATTTTCTTTTTCTATAATTCATTATAAAATATATATATCCACCAACCTAACAATTTATTATTTAAAAGTTTTAAGAAACTAATAAATTCCCTTATCTTCTTCTTTTCTCTTCTCTTTAGTCCATCATTCACAGTTCCACTATAATCTCTTTTGCTCTTCTTTGTGACAAGTCATGCCTAAGCAATGATCATATTTGTTATGAGAAAGGTTCATATACATGCACTCTTTTCTCCACTTTCTTTGTATTTTATAATTCTTATTTCCTTAAGAAAACATATTATACACTTTATGGTATAAAAGGCATTCATGGTTTTTTATTCAACCAAAAAAAAAATATCACTTTTCTACATTATTTTTCCAAAATATAATTAAAGTCATGTTTCATACGCATAATTTTTTTATAATTAGGATAATGTAACGGTTGTGGCCTTAATTTACGTAACTTTTGATAGATTTATAATTGTAATCGATGTTTAACTAGCGTCAGCAGCATATATATTAATTTCGATCATGAATTTGATCGGGGAAAAAAACTAATGTTATACTGTGATAACCAAAAGTACAAAATGTCGATCTTTCTTTATGAAAAGATGGTTTGGTGAAGGTAGTTACCACTTGTCTATCAATCCCATTCACGCGTGGTCCATTGTCTTAAACTTCATACACATACAAATACATAATTCACAACAGGACCGGTCATATGAGCACAGCCTTATGAAGAAGCCACCGCAGCCTCCAATTTATGGGGTCCTATATAAATATACTCTACATATTTGTTTCTTTACTAATAAAAGTAAGATTACAGGTTACGGCCACGTGTCTTTTTTGGATTTAAGGATTAGTCCACTTACAATCTTAACACTCAAATGTATGAAAATACTGGTTAAGGACAACAAACGCTACTAATAAAAAAAAACATGTTTAAAATATATTGAAATTATACATTGAAAAAGACAAGATAATGAAATTTACTTGACTAAAAAATATAATTTATTTCCAAATTTTAGATTTGCTTAAAAATATCGTATTATGACAAAAATATTTGTTATCTGTTACGTCAAGGTCAATCATCATATTTAATTGAAAATTTTAACATATTACAAAATATCATTTTACTATCAACAACAGACAACTTTTAGTACTTAATTGTTTTTGTTAAACCTTTTTTGGAAATTAATTGTTGTACAAACATATTCAAAACTAGGACATATGATTCTAGCTATATGCATTACAACAACAAAAAAATCCTAAATTTTGCAGTTGTTATCTATAAGAACATATTAGTTCTGACATGCAAATTAGTGATCTTAAGAACTTTCATCTTTTGAGTTTTCAGCTAATACACATATTAAGCTACCAATACCATATATTTAAACATATTTTTAACAACCACAAATTTGTTATTTTGAATATTTTTAAAAGACACCATTTTCTTTTTTATTTCGTGTAGCGACCTGCATATGTCACCATCGAGACAGACATGTGTTAAAGAAAAAAAGACACACATGTGTCCTCACCACTGTATGTAATATGTACGTAAGTATAGCTAATATGCATAAGTGTAGTGCGGACTGATACATGCGTGGGTCGGTGTATTTTCGTACTTTATGAAATATTTTTGATTAATCATATGATCACTTATGAAAATTATACCAAAACGACTATCTTTGAGTTTTACAGATCCGATTTTGGATAATCATTAGATGAAAAATTGATCCTACCTGAAATTATTTCCTACTCTTAATTTGTTCATAATTTAATTTTATAATAACGGACCAATCTAATTATATTGGGGAACATATATATGAATCGAATTAGCATATTCCTAGTATATAGTTTGGTAATTACATCTTTGTATCTAGGTCTAATCATTTGTATACTAGGAATATGCTAATTACATAGTAAGTCCATATATTCCTCAATAAATTAAAACAGCTTTAACCAGGTTCGGAATAAAATGTTAAAACGTTAATTAACGTGAACCATATAATCTTGGTTCCTTTTGAGTTCGGTATAGATTGGCAGCATCGTCTAAAAACATGATTATTATTCTTATTGCATATTTGCAGTGTGATTACAGATTTTTAGAAGGAACAACAAAAAACACGAAACATATATATGAAATGTAAGAAAACGAGTATAGACAAGTATGTGTCATAAGATAATAATCCAAAATGTATTTGCCACTCTTTTACCTTTTACATTCTTTTGTATCACATTATAGATCAAATTAAACCTTGTTAGTGACAGATCAACAGTATATTAATGCTAACCGCTAGAATATGAAAGTTCATATTTAAGTTTGTTGGAAAGAAAAGTATATTTATGCAGTGAGTGTAGGAGTTGATATCGATGGAGTGAGATTGAGAATATTAGGTAGGTGGAGTTTATTAATAAATCCTAAGAGATTTCAATCATGATTGTATTGTGACGTTGTTTTGTCGAAGTCTATCATATATAGCAATGGATTCATCACCATGACGCCATCATTGTATCATCATTTAGTATTTTCCACTTTTATCCGAATAATTTTACGTATCTATAAGCAAATTCCAACATTTTTTCTGTGTATAAGTGGAACTAAAGGTTGTTAAAAATGGGACTAATTAGGTAGTTAGTATATAAGTAGCCAAGAAAAATAAAAAGTTTTTTTGGATAAATCGTAAAAGCTTAAGATTTAAGAATTTCCATTATATAATCGTAAAAAGTTAAATGAAGCTGTTGATCTAATGGTTTTAGATTTTGGGCATAATTAATTTAAATTTGGAATGAAATTTAAGTAATATCAATTGGTATATATTAGGTTAAACTGTAATGGTGTTTTATACTGTATTATATTTTTCCTATGAAAATATTTCATCAGTGAATGAAAAAACAGAGAAACGAATGTCCACAGTTGCAATCTTTATTACATGTATTGTACATAATAATCCACTAAACTGCAACACCAAGGCCAAACCCAAATCCCCCACTTTAAGAACAAAGAAAAAAATCTACTTAAAAAAACATCAAGAAAAAACTGAAAGCTAGAGGAGATCAAATGTCCATGAATCTTGATCTAACACCATTCTTGAACATCCATTACCATTACCAACAAAACCATCATCATGGTCATTCATAAACATATCCAAGCTGCCCAAATCATTGATGTCCCACAAGTTTATCGTATCAACAGTGTTGTTGAACTTGCCGTCTTTGCTATTATTATCCCCCGACGAAAGCCACTTGAGGTCAAGAATCTCCATTTCATCAAAAAACTTGGAGAACTCATCACCCGGTACTACTGCTGATATACAAGACGAGGTAGAAGAGGAAGAGGAAGAAGGAGAAGTAAATTTACTAGTGTTGATATTGACGTTATCATCATTAGAATGATGATGATGAGAAGAAGAGATGTCGATCAAGATCTCATGTGGATTGAGCAATGGGACTTCATCAATGCAAAACCCATCACTAGAAACTGATGTGTTGTTCTTCTCCAAATCTTGCTCTTGTTCGCCTTTGGTTTGTTGATCTTCTTGATCTTGTTTTGGGTTCTTGTCATCATGAGGCCCGAAGCTTTTCTTGCTCCCTTGAGCTTGTTGTAAAGCTTCATGTTCCGAGAGAGGCTTATGGGTCAAAGGGTCAATACCCATCTTCCTTAGCTTTTTCTTTATGTGTGTATTCCAATGGTTCTTTATTTCATTATCAGTTCTTCCTGGTAGATGAGAGGCAATCTTTGACCATCTGCACACAAAAAAAAAAATTAAAGATTCAAAATCATACAAGCTAAAAAAATTTAACTAAAGATTTCGACTGTTCAGTCATTTTCATCAGACCAACTAAATTAAACTACTCGGTTTAAAAATATACGACTAAATAAATATGTGCAAGGTTATTTTTTGCCATGCGAAAGAAGAGATAAAGTTTGAGTTTTAGTGACTTTTGTGTTTCTCACATAACTTAAAAATATTGTAATCTAATATGGTCATAACTTTATATATAACTTATATTATGAGTTAGTTAGAATGTCATAGTTAAGGTAAGTAAATTGTTTGTAGAAATAATTGTTTTCAAGAGAAAGAGAATGAACCTATTGCCAAGTTGGGCATGGAGATCAATGACCATTTGTTCTTCATATTCTGATAAAAGGCCTCTTTTTAAATCAGGTCTTAAATAATTTATCCATCTTAATCTGCAGCTTTTGCCACACCTCAATAGTCCTGCATTTAGTTTATCAACCAATAAAAGTGATTAAATTAACGATCAAATTAATTGAAACTTAAACTATACAATTAAAATTGATTGGAAACCAAATAATAGCGTGTGAGGACCACGAAATTAAACACTGATTGTTTCAGCCAAACACTATGATTAACAATCTAATCATATGTTTTGAGTTTTTGAAGTCCGGACCATTCCAAAAAGTAAGGTAAAATTTATATGATTTTGCGTTGAAAATATTTATAAAATTAAAATTATATATGTTTAATATATATGATAACTAATGAACAAAAAAAAGGTAAATAAAATAGTAATCAGTAGGAGTGAGATTTTTTTTTTTTTTTTTTTTTGTCAACAATCAGTAGGAGTGAGATTATAACTGAAAAATCGGAAACTTGAAATAAACTTTTTTCAAAAGTGTCAAGAAATTAACTTTTTGGAAAAACAAAGAAAGTGGTATAGTTTTCGTCGGTATAAGAGAAAGGGTAAAGAAAAAGTGTTTGGTAAAACTGAAAATTTTGAACATTAACTATCCAAACAGTGTCGTTTTGAAGTTTAGAGAAAGAGTAAGAATAAACCAGAAAGCTTGGGAAGAGCTCTCCAACAGCAATGGCCATTGGTGAGGATGAAGTTGATGAGCTTCTTGTCTTCTTCAATAGTCCATGGCCCTTTCTTTAACCCTACTTTATCACAACATGGTTGCCTCCCCATCACTGTCTCTCTCTAAATATATCTACTTTATAGAGAGCTATGTTTAATTTTTTTTTTTTTTTTTTTTTTTTTTGAACAAAAGAGAGCTATGTTTAAATAAGTTACCTAATATACTTATAATGTTGTATTTCCAAGACTAAAGAAGCTACACAACAACCTATATATAGAGAGTGAGAGATGTCAAAACCATGTTTGTGGTTCGGGGACCTACATTTCTTCTCGTATCTTCTTTTAATTATAAATCTATCCAACCTCTTAATTAATTATTATTATTATCCAACCTCTTAATTAATTATTATTATTATCCAACCTCTTAATTTATATTTTCCATATTGTCATAAGATATTTTTATCGAAAATTAAATCATATATGATCGGATTTGTATCTACATAACATATTAATTGAAAACCCAGTAAATTGAAAAATGGCCGATACATAAGTATTTAAGATGATGCAATTAACTATGGATGCAATTTGTATAATTCTTTTATTAAAAGTCGTCCAATTTCTGTCTATACCTTAGAGAGAAAGAAAATAAAACACACACATTTATTTGAAAGTCAAATAATTTTCTTGCAACATTTTCGTGTCACTATTATTGGAGTGAAATTAAAACAAATAATATGAGATGTTATTTGTCATAATGGTATAAGAGAAACACCTCATCAGCCAATGTTGTCTTCTTCGCTTACTCAAATCTCATAATTGAAAAAATAAGAGTTCAGTTTTTCTCAAACAAGAAGAAATTACTTTTGTAATTAAGTATAATGTGATTGGCCGGCTTTTGTTAGCACTAAGTGGGTGGGTTTTGTATTGTTTGCTCGTTATTGTTGGTGGTGTGCCAACACAAACTTACGATACCCATGACGTCATCATAGTGTTACGTTTCCCAAAATATTAATCTTTCGATTGGTAAAGTTTAGGATCACGGAATAAAATAATGTAAAATGGAATGACATCATTGAGAAGCCCAAAATTATTCAAGTGCTAAGTTCGTAGAAATATATTTTATTATTCTTATTGTTAATTCTTGTAAAATTACAAGATGCATAAATGGTGTTTCCAAATTTTTTGATAAATATTAAAACCCAGTTAATTTTATATATTTTTGATAAATTTTGGACGATATCGCTGGGGGCTTCTATTGATTTCGATTTCTATACAAAAAAAATACGATATATATTTATTATTGAAAAAAAGAAAAACAAATAAGTGTCAACCATTGCAACAACTTGGGTCTTATTATCAGTAAAATGGTCCAGTTCAACAAAATGGCCAACATTTACAAAATGGCCCATAAATAAATTTAATATAGTTGGACCGGCCTGAAACTTAACTTACATATAAAACTCCAAGAAACTTAATATAGACTGATAGACATATAGTTGCTTTGTTTATTCAAAAAAAAAAAAAAAGACATATAGTTTGCTTTATTTTTCTTTTAAAAGAAAAGAGATATGGAAACTCAAAGGTAAGACAAAACCGATATGGAAAGAGATAAATAAACCTGACAACAACAATATGTCAAGAAATTTTCAATTGATACTATGTAAATCAATTGATGTTACATGAAATTAGTAGAGATCGTTAATTACAGTTTCTAGAGTGTTCTACAGAGTCATATTTATATGATTGTGATCTCATCTTTGTAAGGTAAGTGAAACAGAGAGTAATAATACAAAAGTTTCATCTTTGTATCTTCTTTCTTTGGCGCCTTTCTCTTTTACAGGTACAGAGGAGCTGTTCTCTGTCTTGTTCTGCTTTTGACTAATGGGCTTCACGTCTGGGCCTTTCACTTCTTGTGTTGATGGGTTTGTTTGGTAGCTCAAGCCTCAATCGATCGAACTTACAGCAGATTTTGAGTGAGTCGGGCCAGATCTTGAGTTCAAACGTTGCAAATAGACTCTACTTTGATTTTGGGCCCGAAAAGATGTATGTGTTTTGATCCGTAATTTCTCAAGACATTTGGAAAAAAAAAAAACAATTACTTTGCCTTATTGTTTTCTTTTTGTGGTTGTCAACAAATTTTATCAGTTTGTATTGTTGGCATAATCATTGGCATTGGAGGAGAAACCGCGTCCAATACTGCCTTAGTGAGGTTCCCATGTTCTATACCCTGTCGGTCTCAAACAAACTTATCATATTTTTCTCACAAACTAGTAATATAATTTATAAATCTCACGAGAAAATATTTCTCCAAACATAACTATTTTTATCCACATATATGCATCTTATTTATATGTTGATGCAATAAACTAAAATATTAATTTATTGGAAGCCCCTTTTTATTTCATGGACAACAATACTACTCAGTCTGCTGTCTACTCTACAAGCATTTTTCTTTATTCGATGAATGAGTAGCATAAATTGACGTTACAAAGTTTTTAAATGGTTTTTCTTATGTCATGCAATCTTTTTTTTCTTTTCGTGATATACTTTTTCCCACTTTCCATTCATATATTGAGAAATCTTTATGTAATTTAAATTTATATTTGCCGTGTGAGAATTGTTTTGTGATATTACTTAGCGTTTGCGTATTACCAATCATATTACACACTATCCGTTTTTAATAAGTTTAACTAATATTTTATATTTATGTCATCTTAAGTTTATAACCAAGTTGATGTTTGTTTCTTCATTCACATGCATACTCCTCTTAAAATGTTTAAAACAACTATGTCCACTGAAGTAGCGGAAGCTTTAAGGATAGAACTAGAGATCCGTTGATTCCTCGGAATACCGGAAAACTAGGGTTTCTCGGATCTGTTGATTCCTCGGAATACCAGAAACGAGAGAACGTGAGGAATTCGTTGATTCTCTGCGAATACCGAATCCTACGTCTTCTTATAATCGTTGAGATCTCTCGAGATATACCGAAAACAAGGATTAGAGAATACTCTTCTCTGAAAAGCTAAAAGCTCTTTAATTTTATTAATCAATCAACTGTCTACAAAAGGAGGCCTTAATGGCTTATTTATAATAAAACATAAGAAAACCCTAGAATATTCTAGAAACACTAAAAGATAAAGACTAAAATAAATAATATAATTAAAATATAAATAAATGGGAATTATCATAATTCTACGCTGCATCAGGTCTCGCCGGCCAAGAAAAGATTCGTCCTCGAATCTTGTAACTGCGCTGCATCAGCTCTCGCCGGCCAAGAAAGATTCGACCTCGAATCTTCAGCAGGGTTTTCAGCATTGGAGATCTTGGAAGATTCAGCTTTATCTCCATCTTTTGATTCTGTCCAATTTTTGCACGAACTGGATCTGACCCGAAATTTGCACGAATCTGATTTGACCCAGAATTTGCACGAATCAGATATGACCCGAAAATTGCACAGATCAGATCTTCAATGATTTCTGCAGGAAACCCGAATTTTGCACAGATCTGACTACGCCCGGATTTTGCACGAAGAGTATCTTGCCTGAATTCTGCACAGATTTTCTCGAACGCACCATCGCTGAACACAAAATCGACATGATCAATAACTAAGACATCATCATCTTCATAGATATCGTAGATAGGATCACCGTAGATTTCTCTGTAACCATCTTCAAACAAACTTTCTTCTGCAAAGGGATAAAAGTTACCACTCAACATGATCACCATAATCGTTCTTCGATTGAGAAATCAAAGAGACGCAGCTCTGATACCAACTGAAGTAGCGGAAGCTTTAAGGATAGAACTAGAGATCCGTTGATTCCTCGGAATACCGGAAAACTAGGGTTTCTCGGATCTATTGATTCCTCGGAATACCAGAAATGAGAGAACGTGAGGAATTCGTTGATTCTCCGCGAATACCGAATCCTACGTCTTCTTATAATCGTTGAGATCTCTTGAGATCTACCGAAAACAAGGATTAGAGAATACTCTTCTCTGAAAAGCTAAAAGCTCTTTAATTTTATTAATCAATCAACTGTCTACAAAAGGAGGCCTTAATGGCTTATTTATAATAAAACATAAGAAAACCCTAGAATATTCTAGAAACACTAAAAGATAAAGACTAAAATAAATAATATAATTAAAATATAAATAAATGGGAATTATCCTAATTCTACGCTGCATCAGGTCTCGCCGGCCAAGAAAGATTCGTCCTCGAATCTTGTAACTGCGCTGCATCAGCTCTCGCCGGCCAAGAAAGATTCGACCTCGAATCTTCAGCAGGGTTTTCAGCATTGGAGATCTTGGAAGATTCAGCTTTATCTCCATCTTTTGATTCTGCCCAATTTTTGCACGAACTGGATTTGACCCAAAATTTGCACGAATCTGATTTGACCCAGAATTGCACGAATCAGATATGACCCGAAAATTGCACAGATCAAATCTGTTGGTGTCGGATCCCGCACCAGAAGTACGAGACCAACCAAAGATTGCCACGTAGTCAAGATAATAGGCCTATAAAGAATGAAGCCCATCGGACCCAGGAGTCGAAGGGACGGTCGAAGTGGTTGTCACCACTTCGACCATCCGAAGTGATTACATTACGACATGAGTTCGATGAAGAAGGCATGGGTAAGATGGTTCAAGGATATTTGGGCCAGAAAGGCGAGGCCCGCGAAGGTCAGAGTCAACTCAAATTCAAACGTTGAGCATTAAAGTCGAAGAATCAAAACGGACACATTTAAGAGGGAATAATTGTACTTAATTATTCATTTTAATGACAATTCTCTATGTATAAATATAAAGGCCAATGGCCATGTAAAGGGGGACTTCCTCTCAAGAGAGAAAAATAATAGAGCAATTTTCGTATCAATTTATAAGTTTTTATATATTCATTTTTGTCCCTCAAGAATAAACTTTCCCACTTAACAAAAATACTTGAGTGTGTGAATCCGACATCCACATTTTGGCGCCGCCTGTGGGGAAATCAGGATTCTTGAGTGGTCAGATTTCTTCTTTTCTACATTTCCGAGATAAGCGACAATGTCCGGAGGAGACGCCGTTGAGACATCATTGGCCGAAACCCTCAAAGCTATGCAGCAAACCATGTTGGACATATCACAAAAGTTCTCGGATGTGGAGAAGGCCGTCGATACGTTGCAAACATCCCATGTATCTCTTAGTCAAAATTTCAATAATATACAAACTCGTGTTCGCTCTTTAAGTGCAGGAAACCCGGTGGGAACCCGAAGAGGGATATTCAACTCGCCAAGTTCCGCTGCACGAAATGAAACCAGCGGACAAACAACTCCCGGTGCTACTAATAATGTAGCTCAGACGTCGGAAGAAG